TAGAAAATGAGTTTCTCGGATGAAGATGCCCTAAACTATTGAAGGTAGGACTCCCTCAACCTCCTTCTTATGAAAAATTATAATATAAGGAATTCTTATTAAATCAATAACTATAATATTTTAAAATATAGTTAATAAAAAAGATGGAACTTCTCAAATAAATTTTTGAAACAACATGGTGCCCAAGCAATAGGACCATCATATTTAGCACATTTTGATATGTTTGTCAGACTTATTTCCTATTTAAGCAGATTTGTAAAAAAAATATTATTGTTCTTACAGTGGAAATAAAAATTATTCTTGGACTCTTCATGTGCAAACTATGGCTGCATATTATTATTATTTTTGAAAATAAATAAATAACAATTTTCTTATCCAATAAATATGGCTATAAAAAGCTATTTTCTTATTAAAAAATTCTTGGAAATAATTAAAAAAATATTGCAAAAATAAAATTATGATGATGTCTTAAAATCAAAATTATAAAAAGCTATAAAAAAAGGGAAATTGAGTAGTAAGTTTCTAATAGGGCAACTTCTCATACCCTTTCAATTGAAGGGAAACTCACGAATTAGGCTGGTATAGGGGCGCAAATGAGTCAAGTATCTACCTAATCAAGCTAGACTTAGTTTTACTGAGCTTAAGCTCGAGCTCGACTCGAGTGTTGAGCTATGTTTCTTAATTTTAAATTAAAATATTCGATTTTTTTTAATATAAAATTAATTTAAAAATATTAAAATATATTATATAATGCTAATTGAAATTAATTTTAAATATATTTTAAGTTAATCAAGTAATTGAATGATCTTTCGAGCTGAGCTAAACTGAGCTCAAGTTCGAGCTCATTTAATATATGAGCTCGAGTATGAACTTGAGCTCGAATTCGTGGCTCAATAAGCTCAACTCGAGAACTCACTAAGGTGTCTAACCCGAATTGACTTCACTCACTTACACTCCTAGGCTGTGATGTCTCCTGGCTTTTTGGCTAAGGCACAACTTAAGCATTCATATCATGGTGATAGCATCAATGGAAAAAGCATGGTGAGGAGGAGTGGGCGTCGGTCTTCTCCCTGCTCCATCGGGGGAAGTGATGGTAGGAAACCCTCAAAGATTAGAAACTATTGGAAGGTTTTGGAAGGCAATGAATCAGATTTTTGCGAGCAGGTTTTGAAGGCTGATTTAGCGGCTGAGCTAGTCTATGTTTTCATTGCTAATGCTTCGACTGTCGAACATGAGCAATTTTTTAACTCTTTTGATGATGAACATCTTCGTGAATCTTCAATGAGGTATGATTGTTTAGCTAACGGAAATGACCTGGTGTCGGGTGAGCCACTTCCGTTTGGTTTTGCGTTCGCTTCAGAATGAGATTCTTCTTCATGCGTTTGTCATTACCTCAACCTTTCCATCTGTGAATTCAAGTCTAAATGCATCCCGTTCTTGCATGCTGGGGAGATCGAACCGCATCCTATGGTGGGTTGTATCTCATGCAGCTCCGATCAGGCCCAGGCAAGTCCTTCTGCTATGGAACCTTGCTTTTTTGGACCAGTGACGGTTCAAACTGCATCACAAATCAATGCTGCAGCAGCTGGTAGTCAATATGAGCATTAGTGGTTCAGAAATTGCAAATGAATGTAGGAATTTGAATGATCCTATGGATTCTATTTTGTGTTCTGAGATTGATTGCAGGTGTGTAAATACATCAGATGCAGCCATTCATGATATTTGTAAATCTGCAAACTGCACATCAGGTGTTTGTGCTATTGCCCCTTCCAAAACTGCTTGCTTGAATGACAATACTATTTCTTTTCAGTAGTCCTCCAAGCATCCAAATGGTACTAAATCTTCCCATGGCCTCCCCATTGCATGGAATAGGTTGGAAGTTATCAAAATTGATGACGTTTCTAAGGTGGCAGTCATGTCAGGTGATGGAAGTTCTATGACCTTGAACATGGAGTCCATCCATGCCAACTTAGTTATGGCTTGAAAGAGGGTTAGTGGGCAAGCTTATTGGACGAAGGCTGCCTTACTTTATGCTAAGCAATGAATTGAAGCATAAATTGTCAATGTTTGGAGATTTTCAGCTCCTTTCCATCTCCTCGGATTCTTTCATTTGCCTCTTTGAAAGTCCCGAGGCTCGGGATGCAGTCCTTTTGGGTGGACCATGGGTTATTGGTGGGTATATCATTGATTTTGATTATTGGTCTTCTTCCTTTTCTCCTGATTCAATAGTGGGCCTATCTTCTCATATTTGGATTGACTTGTCTCACTTGCCTCTATTATACTAGGACAATACAAACTTTGTTTGAATAGCTTCTTTCTTTGGACAACCTCTATGGATTGATGCTCAAGCAAACTCCTACGGGAGAAATGCTTTTACTCGTGTTTGCATGCTGATGGATCTTGGTGCCAAGCTTTTTGGATCTTTGGCCTTCATGACAAGTTTTTTCAAAGGGAGGAATATGAGGGGATCACTCACCTTTGTTTCCATTGTGGCTTTGTTGGGCACAATATAAGTCATTGTCCCAATGTTCCTCAATCCTCCAAGCATCTCACACAATAACCTTAATCTAGATCAAATCTTTCATCTGTTTTGTGCAAGATCAACAGCATCCCCTCTTCTATTGACCCTCTCGTCACTAATAGTTACCCTCCAATGATGATTAATGACCCTAATTCATCTTCCATGATCCATCCTGCCCTCTATCCACCCCATTTGGAAATTGGGCACTCAATTTCTACCAATAGTGTGAAAGAAGGGAAAATTCCAGTTACCTATGGGCCTTGATGTCTTGTCACTACTAGAAAATCTAGGAGATAGAAGAAGAAGAATCCCAATGTAGGTATTGGAGGTCAGAAGTCTATTCCTCCTTCCTTGCAAGTCACAAGTGGGAAAGTTAGTGAACCAGTCAAGCAAGTTGCTTCATCTAGGGATGTTGATCTCTCCAACATACCGTTCAAGTTTTCCACTGAAGCTATCCTCATGCATCTGAGAAGATCTGACCCAAGGTATTATAGAGTCTCTAAGACTCGTTTTGCTAAGGAACTTCAAAGTTTGGGGCCATTTACTGATCATCCTAGGAAGCGGATGAAGGAGGGTGGCGGGGACGACTCTCGTTAAGGTGATCAATGTTGGGGGTCTTCTTGTAGGGGGCGCCTCAGTTCTCTTGGTTTCCCCCTCTCTGGAGTGGACCTTATCCTGGTACTTGCCAGGAGCTCTTTGATGGCCTCACATTGACATCAAAATTGCAGTTTTTTGTCTCTTTTTTTGAAGTGTATGCATATATGGGAAGTTTTAGCTTGTTCTATGCTTCTCTCTTTTTTATTTTATTTTGTTATGGGAGGTTTCTTTTTTATGCTTCTCCCTAAATTGTACTCATATACTTTTTGATTTTATTGTAATGATTTTTTTTTCTAAAAAAAAAAAGCATTCATATGCTTGTGCTATGCCTAATAAGGTTCTTCTAATGGTTCTTCAATGAATGACATGATCAAACTTGGACTTGAGTAATAGATATTTCTTGATATAGCTTAAGTAATAGATATTTATAACATTAAAAACCTCCAAAATATGGTGGAAGAATCAAATTAAAATTTATGCAGGAATATTAAAACACTACATGGAACTCAATTTAAACAAATTACAAATAATACCTATCAACATTTAACTAGAAAGTGTCATGAGAGATCTAATGTATGCTAGAATTAAGTAATTTGATGTATGAGTCACCTAAATGTAGTGTGCATTAGGTCAAATAAATAAAGTTATGTATAAATGATTAAAATTTCATTTTGGGACAATTTTCTTACTGTTACTTATTATAAAATTTTTTAACACTAACAATTTTTAAAAGAAAGAAAGAAATCCTATACTTTATAAAAGCTAAAGGCAATAATAATGGCCGTCGATGCTTCTCCTCCCAAACCGACCATGCAAACGCAAAGGTGCTTCCTCTCGATGCCGTTTCTCTGGCGGTTAATGAGCTCCTTCCCGGCATGCTGGTTCTCCTTTGCTGTAATGCACCTCCATCGACTGTCTTAGGTCTTCCGCTCTTCGCTCGTTCTATCATTTATTCTCCTAAGCAAGTGATATGTTTTTTATAGAGTTTAGAACTTCTCTGGAGCCATTGAGACTTCCCATCTGTTCAATTTGCTCCCATGCCGCCGGGAGCGACTTCTCCTCCAACATCAAGCAAGGTTTCAGCCCGCCTTATTCCCTGCCTCTTTCTTGTCCTTTATAAAGATATATTAAGACTCTGCTTTTGGGATGGTTGAGTTCTTCCCTGGCATAGTTCGTGTTGAAATTCTAGGTCGTTTGCACTAGTTTATTTCGATTATGGCCTGTAGCTAATTAATGGATTAATTATGAAGTTTTTTTTTCTCATATACAATAGCAGTCAATTCATGATGTGATTTGGAAGAATGAAATCTGCTTACTACTGTTTGTTGATTTAATACAACACTAATAAACTACAGCATACTCAGTTACTTATCATGCGTTCAAGATTATGTATAATTGTTTCATAAAGGGGATTGATAAAATCAAGAATTCTGTACTTTTTATTTTGTTTGAACATTACTATATTCTGTTTTCTATTTTCTTTTCTTTTCTTTTTTAGCTATCCAATGATGGGAAAGCATCCAATGATCATGGTAGGTAGTGCATATGGCTTGGTAGACCTTTGGTTTGTTGGCTCGATTGGTCCTTGGCTACTGATGGTTCTCGGGTTGGCTGTTTTGGAGCATTTGGATTCTTGTTCGCCGGCAACTCCAGAAATTGGGTGGAGGGGAGAAAGGTATTAGAACTCATATTAGTAGACTCGCCTTATTCTCATTCATATCCTAACATTTCTAAATGGAGACTATTTATAGATGTACAATATAAGTACTTTATATCCCCTACTCAACTCACAATTATATTACAGTTATTTATGTATTAACTCATTAACTTATTTCAGATCCCTAACAGATTGCCACTGCGTTTACGTTATTTTTTTGATTAGGTGAGTGAAATGGTTGGTACCTATTTTTGCAAGAAATAATCTTGAGGGAAAAAGGGTGGGATTAAGTTTGAAGCTTCCAACATGATAGCATCTTTTTTCATGAAACGCGTCAGTTCACCATTTTCCTCATATTCACATATAGTTATAAGATCTCTTGGCTTCAGCTCTGAGGCTTTTAGATCTTTGCAAAGGGATTGTGAGATATCTGCATCCAAATCACGTGATGATTCGAGTAAACTCAGGGTTGGCTTCCATGGAGTAAAATTTCCACAGTTGATTCCATCCAATAAAGGTCAGTTGGAAAACTTTAATATCAAACTTGTTGATCCTAATCTTTGGCCAATTTCTTTTGGCTTGGCCCACAATTTGAATGGAATGGATGCAAAGCAGGAAGTTTCCTTGAATTTAGATGAAGATGCATATGATGATGAAATTTCCAAGGGAGAATCTATGGTTCAGAACTCTCTTGATTTTGATGAGATTGAGGACTTGAAACTGCAAAAGAAGCTGTTTTACAAGCTGGACAGGGGTTCCAAAGAATATGAGGAATGTAATATTAGTTTTCATCGAAAAAAATCTTTCAAGACACGTCTTGAGAAGCAAAGAAAAACTAAAATGGTGAAGGGTTGTAAGAAATCTGAAGAGGCTTCTGCTAAACCATCACGTGGACACTCCATGGACATGAAAGGCATACATTCATTTTCTAAAACATTGGTTTGTGAGGTCCATAATGAGAGAACTTCTGTGGATAAGAAGGTGAGGACTCCCACATTTAATCAGCTTACAGATCCTTATCATCTGCCCTTCTGCTTGGATATCTTCATAACTAAAGGTTCTGTTCGTGCTTCTGTGATTCATCGGGTTACCAGTAAAGTTGTGGCTGTGGCACACTCCATTTCAAAGGATATGAAGTTTGATTTGACATGTAAGAAAGATGCTATAGCTTGTGCTGCAGTAGGAGAAATTTTGGCTCAAAGAGCAATTGAGGATGATATTCACAATGCGGTGTATACGCCAAGAAAAAGGGACAAAATTGAGGGGAAACTTCAAATTGTGCTTCAATCCATCATTGATCATGGGGTTGATGTCAAGGTGAAACTTAAGCAAAAGAAACCAGTCAAGGTATCATGTAGCCCTCCTGTTATTTGTTTTATTGTTTGATGAATTCATTTATCCATTAAGATAATGCAAATGGTGATACAAAATTAAGAGCTATTCACTAATTCAAAGTAAGAAAAATAAAAAAGAGTAATATTTAAATAATTAATGAAATAAAGAGTGAATTATTCTAAATTACCCCCAAGTGGTAAGGTGGGAAGTTGCAAATCCTTTATCCCCAATTCAAATATGGTTGTCGCCTAATCAACGAAAAAATATTTGGAATTTCTTAATCCTGCTGATTGAACTTGATGAATCCTTGCCCTGCAAAAGCATAGGCAAGGGTTATGTCTGTCGATACTTTATTTTGACAACCCGTAGGGCCTATAAAAAGAAATTGTCATTTTTTTTTTCTCAAAATCTGGGTTTTGAGTCTGTTGCTCAAATAGGTTTCAATAAATATGTGGCAATTCAATCGTTTTAATGATTAATTTGGCTATTCTGAATTGAATTAAATAAAAGAAATAGTGAGAATTTGGCTATCAGAATTATGAAATTAAGAAGAAAGTATGAAGGCAAAAATCTTGGCTTTCAAAGGTTCCTAAGGGACACCCCATTTTGGCTACTATGGTTTAAGGATCCTAAAAAAGACTAGAAAATGCTCCCTAATTATTTTACTATAAATTTCTTAATATTGAGGTCGTGTCTACTAACTCTGTCTTAGATGAAATTATATTTGATAGGATGATGGCGAATTCATTTAATAGTTGTGGTTTAATAATTGTGAAAAGAACTGACTTGTATCCAGACTCACTAGAGGCTTTGAGTTTGTTCATAAATTGAATTAGAATGGTTGAACGGCTCTTTTTTTTTTTCTTACATATTATATTTTCTTTTTTATTTTATTATATTTTTCTTTATTTTGTATATTTTATTTGATTTTTTCTTATGCTATTTTCCTTTTTTCCAACTCTTTTTATTTCAATAAAATTCTATTTTCTATTTATTATTAGATATTATCTAGTATTATTAGATTTATATATTATATGTTATGGTATATTATGTTTGTCCGATTCTTTATATATTAATTCTTTTGAAAAGCTCCCGGATCCATATCCATAAGCATAGGAAGAGATAAATCAAGAATTTAACCAGTTGGACTTGCAATTCTTTTGGATTGATTAATATGCATACAAATTGGTACAACAATAACAACAATAATAACATCAATCCTTTAACCACTATGTGAAGTCGGTTACATGAATTTTTTTTACCCATTATGTCATGTTAAGAGTCATATTTTCATTTAAATATACCAAAATAAGGTCATTTCTAGTATTTTTCTAACTAAGTTTTTTTAGGTCTACCTCTACCTTTCTTAATATAGGTCGAATCTAATACATCTACTCTCCTAATTAGTTTATGAGAAGGCCAATATTTCATGTGACCAAGCCATCTAAGGTGACTCTCTCTAATATTATTTGCAATTGGAACTACTCCAACCTTTTCACGCATATGCTAGTTTCGCATTCTGTTTCTATGAGTGAAGTCACTCACCCACCTGAGCATTCTCATATCTGCAATGAGAAAAAAAATTTAGTGCTATTTCATTATGATGTATGTCAAATATATGTTTAGAGATATAATAGATATGCATTGTCAATTTATCTATATAAAAGAAAGCATCTTTTGTATATAATACAACTTCATGTTTTATGTACTAAGAATATGAAATATTCTACATTACTTAATTATATAGTGTGGTAGAAAGAGCAATGTGGTAGAAAGTGGTATATATTGCTCTTTCTATCATACTATGTCAAATACTTTCGATTCTTTAAGACTGAAATGAAGTTCTAAACCCTTTCATTTCTTCAATCATTGATTTGAGTAATTCAAGTTTCATTCAAATTAAACATTTTGGTTGGCATTAGGAACAAAAATGAATAGCACAAGTAGCATTAAGCGCAAGAATATTGACTTTCATAATCTGTTTGTTTTCTTCTTTCACAATAATTCAGGATCTAATTCCATAGAAATGATAAAGTAGGTTGCTATCAATTCAAATGTGAATTACATCCTGATGATACTAACAATATTATGAATAACAATATCAAATCAATTTATCATCACAAAGTATAACATAGGAAGATCTTTTATCACTCAATATAAATTAAATAGAAAAAAAGATGGGATTCTTTCTTGTTGTTGGATCAAAAATCCCATTTCATTTTCGTTCTTTTCCTTTTCTATCACCTATTCTTATACACTTTTTCAATTCTTGTTCCTTTACTCATACAAAATATATAAAATATACATAAATTTTTGTGGTATCATTTGTCCAATATTATATAGGTCAAAAAAAAAAAAAGTTGTAGAAATGAGATTGAAAAAAGAAAAGGGCGGATGAAGTGTCAAAAATAGAATATTCCAACAGATCCCTTCAAAAAGGGCATTGCTTGATTAGTCTTTTATTAGTATCACTATCTTCCTTCCTTCTTTCTTGGATTGGAACTAGAACACATATATAAAAAATGCAGTATGCAATTTGGATGAGAATAAAATAGATTTTTTCCAATTAATCATTGTGAATACAGAAACAAAGTTTGTTCGTAACTAAAGAACTAAATGTGTGGTTTCATCTTAACTTGAAAAGTACTCTATTGAGATAATTATGTGAAGTTCATTATTTGTCTTACAATAAACAAAACAATTTAAGTATGTATTCTCAATCAAAATATAGTCACTATTTCATTTCGTTGATCACGAAAATAACTATTGAAAAGAAAATAAGACGAGTATGATCGCTTTTCAATACTAAATTATAATAACCCAAAATTCTTAAAATAAATTTATTTGAAAATTTTAAAAATCTAAATCCAGTGTGCAGCGTTGTGATGTTGTGATGGCAAGCACAACTGCGTAGGTGCGCTGCTATGACAAGAGATGTTGTCGTGACTTCGTAATCTTTGTTCAAAAATAACTTAAGTTCTGCATGCAGTGCAACGACTCTGAAAGGTTGAGCGACGTGACGTTGGGCATTGAATTAGCATTTTAAAATATTTTATGTTAAATATCCCTCATCATCATGCCCATGCCCCCTCATACCATTTACTTGTTGGTGAAGGAAAGGAAGGAGAAGGAGAAGGAGAAGGAGAAGAGAAGCGAGCGAGGAGAGGAGAGGAGAGGAAAGGAGAGAGAAAAGAGAGAGAAAGTCTTATATGACATTTCCGCCCGTTTTCTATTATAAGTGACCTCAACTCTCCTTTTGTTTTCAATATTTCTGAGTTTATTACATTTCTCTCCTGATTCTGATAAAAATACAATATCTTCCGTTTTAGTGAGCTTTCACTGTGCAACTCTTGATATGTGATCAATATCGTTATTTTGAATGTTCTTTTCAATGATTAGTTTTGTATATACGTTATTTTGTATAATATGAGTAGAAATGACTAGGTGTAAACTAATCAAGAGTAAATGTACTAAATTTGGATATGAAATACTCGATATGCGCATAGTTATTGTTCATTTGGCATGACATGCATTTTGGTATAATACTTGCATATTATTGAGCACACTATATAGATCTACATATTATAATAATTGCATCCGATTTATACAGGTTGTGTATATGAATGAGTTAAATGCATAAGAGCAGGTAAAATGTATGAACTGATATGTTATAGGATTGATATTGACATGAGTGAGAGGACAAATGATTGATAATATGATGTTTGCTGTTGTGATTAATATGATATGATGTGTGTAAGAATAAGTAGAAGAAAATGAAATGCTAGAGGTGATAAACGGTATTGATACTGATATGATTGATTGATATTGGTATGATTGAGAAGAAAATGACTTTTTGTTTTTGATTACTCCATTTTGTGTTGGATAATACTGTGTTGGAATATTCTACTCTGCTCTCTATGTTGGATAATAACTGTGTTGGGTAATACTCTATTATACTCTTTGTGTTAGATAATACTTTTTAATATTGTGCTATGATCTCTTTGTTGGTTCTAAATAACATTGTGCTGGAAACTACTCTGCTCTGACTCTAACTCTGATTTATTGATATAATAGATATGATAAATTATTGATATGATAAATAATAGATATGACATATGATGAATATGATTGAATGATTGCTGATTAAAATTGATTGATTGATGAGTATATATATATAACAGATGAGGGATATGATTGAGTGATTTTTAACTGAAATTAATTGATTGATGAGAATAATTGACTGATTGAGTGTATGAGAAATATGACTGATATGTAGCTGGACTGATAGGGTATTGATAAGAACATATGATATGTGACGCCTATGATAAGGTTGGTTCACATGACTAAAATATGACTAAGATATATATTAATACAAGGGCATATTGTATATATGAATCACCTGAATTATAGATACTATTCTTATTTACTGCTATAAATTCTTACAGTTATATTGCTTTGAATTGAATGCTTATATACATGTTATTCTGTTTTATCTATTGACTTCAGTTATAAATATTGATTACTTGTTAGGCTTTGCACTAATTATATGATTTTTACATGCTTTCAAATAAAAGATAAGGAGCAAGTGGAGTGAGGTGGATGATCTGGTCACTGCAAGTTTAGTTTTTTTTTTGTTGTTGTTCTTTTTGTAATCACAATGTTTTATTTTAGCGATGTATTATTTTGGTTGAACATCATGATTATTATATATGTTATTTTGAGATTTGGTCTAAATATTTGATGAAAAGATATGTATTATATTTTTGCTATTTATATTGTTTAGATGAAATTAGTAAGCACTAGTTAATATTTAGAAAAAAAATTAGATGTGTAATTCTTCCGATTCAGGTCTTGGAGCATCACATAAATATATTCTTGCTCTAGTTAAGAAGTAACAATTTTACAAATCTAGGGGACAATTTTTTTAGATATTCTTCATGGAGTTACAAATTCTTGGGCGAGCTAGATTTTAACTAGCGTAAACATCTCGCCAACGAAGTTATAGCCTGTCC